CCCCCCACCCCCCCCCCTCCACCCCCAGACTTCATCACCCACTCATCATATAAAATAGTATACGCAACACGGGCGGACAGCAGGGGGTCTCACTCGGGCGGCTGCGCCGCCCTCGTGAGTAACCGCCTGCTTACCGGACTAGTTGCGTAATGTACTATTTTGATTCTAATTTCATTATTGAATTCTGCTAGATTATGTGAACATTCTTGAAAGGTATGATTTTTGTTTGTTTTCGCCTAATACCGAATTTAGTATGGATAAAGTGAATGGAATAATTATTCTAAAAAAAAAAAAACAATGTGGTCACAAGTATTATTATTCATGACATTTCATAAGTTTGGTCGTTATAAATTGGGATCTCTGAAGTTTTGATAGTATTCTTTTTCTGGACATGCCAAGATTCATTCGAAAAGGTTGATAGTAAAAGCCTTATCTATAGTGAAAATTCTAAATGTGATTTCTATTACAATATTGCATTGGTGTGGTCATATTTTCATCGTTAGTTGTCTGTCAATTTGAAAGTTGAATGAATGGCCCTAGTACACGAGTGCCAATTATGGATAATTATATATTTATGAGGTGTAGAATCGAAATTTCGGACATCAAAATGAGATCAATCACATATGGATTCTCTTTAAAGATTAAAGATTTCCATTTTTATTCATTAGTTTGAAAATTTTAAAAGAAAGACGGAGGTGGAAGGTGGATAGAAAACTTTGAAGCAACTTAGATATGATGGATGCTAGGTATGGCTAGGTATGGAGGGATCTGGAAAGGAAAATTGATTCATTGATTGACGCTGATCACTGATTACGAGCTTGTGTGTCATTTGAGTAATGCAGGCAGTATCTGCCACGTTCATTACATAAAAAAAATTTTTTTTTTNTTTTAAAAATTGTATTTTGTAATTATTATAATTAATTTTTTTCAATTAAAAATACTTTACAAGTTTTTTGAACTACATATTTAATGAATATAATAAATTTTTTCTTCATAAGTTCCGCATAATTTTTAAATTNAAACTTTGAAGCAACTTAGATATGATGGATGCTAGGTATGGCTAGGTATGGAGTGATCTGGAAAGGAAAATTGATTCATTGATTGACGCTGATCACTGATTACGAGCTTGTGTGTCATTTGAGTAATGCAGGCAGTATCTGCCACGTTCATTACATAAAAAAAATTTTTTTTTTTCTGAAATTTTCGATTCACAGAGCCTTCCCCCCTGTTCAGATTTTCTGACAGGCTGTTATACTCAAAATTAATTTTGTTTGAATCGAAATAAACTCACTCTCATATCCATTTTGTTTGAATGAGTTAATGTCTGCTGTGCTATATAAGACTTCTGGGATGATTTTTAATGACCTTGGCAGTCGATTTTTGGTTACATCGAATCGATAATGAATATCAAATCATGTGAGACGGGAATTTATTTCCTTTTCTATTTCATTATGACGTCCGTTCAATATCAATTGTATGGGGAAAATGATAGGGCTGGAGAGAGAAGTGAGTTTGACGGGCACATAATGTCCAATAGGCTTGAGTGAAATCTGCTGAGTCGGTAATTATGTGACTGATATAATCTCATGTTCGAAACCTCGACTCTACTGACTTGATTTGACTTTTACGAACGATTCTCTCTCTTTTTATCTTTAACTAAATATACTCTGATATAAATTCTTAGTTCTAATAAATATAGTTCAATTCATAAAATTTGAATACAAAAAAAATTTTAATAACAATAATAGGGTACAAATCTTGTAGTTTAATGCTGTTCAGTGGTGATCTCGGTTGTAGGCTAAGACATCCTTCTGGTATAGGCAGCAGCTGGGTCCAGGATCTTCCAATGACGTCCCCCCGGGTACCGGTTGAGTTGGGATATTTTCGCTGATTCTAGGCGCTTCAGTTATACTCCTAAGAGTAGGTCAATGTTAGATTGATGACTCTCTGGTTACTCAGGCTGCGTTCCTCTGTGGCGTTTGTTTTCAGCCTCAGATATATGGTGTTGTGTTGTCTCTCGCCAATGTTGAATCACTTAGAGCGCATGGCCTCCAGTTGATCGTCTTGGTAGATATTTTATGGGCTCTTTGAAGATTGGGCGCCTGACAGTATCGGATGAAAAACTTCTTATCTCAGAAATTGCTCCGTCTGTGCAAAGGTTGTGTGGATGGCTCGCTGGTTTCGTGCCTCATTCGTACGTTGTATTGACAAATGTGCAGAAATATCTGATAATTTTGAGAGCTCGAATAGCCAAATTTTTCGTTGAACAGTTCTTCACTATGATATCAAAAATTGTTGGCCTCTCACTTCACTTTCACTGGAAACTAACCCTGGATGTATTTTCTTTTGCTCATTATAGCAATCAGTTAAACTGGTACTTAGAATCAACAGAAAACAAACCTGATTTATTTTGGCCAGCAACAAAATATGAAGAAAAGACAACTGAGAGATGGTTTGAGAAAAGATGAAGAAGAATGGAAGATTTATTGATTTTTATGTACCGTCTACTATTATTATTTTGTTTTGTCTTAACTCTACTGGTTAATAGATGTTTACAGGTTTCCCAAGTTGTGTAATAAAAGAGGAGAAATTGCAAAAAGTAAGAATAGGCATAAAAAAAATTACGAATCGATTGAGACTTGAATTTTAGGATAAAAGGCACATTTGTGCAGTGAGAGAGAAATTCAAAGTTCTCAATACTTTAAAATGTTTGTGATATTATTTAGGAGGAATCGCGCCGATTGACCGGCAACTGCGATTCAGGACGTTAGTCAGGGTTACGACCGATAAGTTGTCGAAACATGACCATGGCATCGTTATTCCGTTCCGTTCAGGTAATTCGTGGAAAATATAAGGGACAAAGCAGGGGTAAAAAATCCGAGGTAAAGCATTCATACGTGAATTTTGATTGAATAGCCATTTTTCGTACTCGAAAACATGGCATTTTGAATTAGTAATTTTGAATAAATGTACTTTACAATTTTGCTGTTACGAAATTAGTCGATTCGTGTTTCTATTTGTTCGACTAAGTCCATATCGATTAATTTTTAGATCATTTCCATGGTTCAAACTGACCAAAAACTTGAAATTGATTGATTGATTAGTGGATCAGGTCCTGGAGATGTCGAATCATTGTTAGGATTCCAGGAAATTTTGAAAGAAATTTTCATTTTTAATTTTCCCGATCATTTTGTATAATTTTGAGAGCGAAATACAGTTGTTAGGCTCGGGTGATTTGATTGTTATTTCATTCTTGGATTGTTCATCGATATAATTTTGATTATTTGGGATGGAAGTCAAGGTGACGTCCCTCCTTGCAACTGCGGTTAGGAAATTGAGTAATAATGGATTTTTCGAAAAACGAAAAATTTCGTTATCATAGTACAAAGAATTTGAGGGTATTTCAAATAGCCAATGGGATTTTTCATTTATAATGAAATCGTTATGAACTGAATTTTGAGAGCCAATTGAAATTTTCAATCGATAGCCATCGAATAAATTTTTGTGGAGTTTCAATTGTCGAATCGATGGTTTACATATGAGAGAACTAGTAATTTGATTATTGAATGCAAGGAAATCCCATGAGATTTTGCAGGATGGATCGAAAATTTGAAGCAAAATTTTCTGGATCAATTTAGAAGATTGTGGCAAAATGAATAATGAATTTGGGTAGAATGATTGAACAGGTATTTTGATTTTGTTGGAATTTTTTCTGTTGAGAAAATTGTTACATGTGATACTCAGGGTAGCTTCCCCCGCGGTAACTACAGTCGTGGAATTTTTGTCAGATTCATAGGGAGTAAAATTTTGGATTAGAATTTGATCATCAAAATGAATTATTTCTTTTGATAGAATGGAAAAATTGGGAAGTGACTCTTCGCTTGATATTGCATCATGTACTTGAAATACTTCTTCTTGGAGACCTTCAAAATTCTGAGGTGAAAGAGAGTGTATTTCTGCGTACTTCAAAGGTGGTAAAATGTTCTCACTCTAGACGAACAGAAATTGAATGTTTTCTACTGCAGTAAGACCTTTTTCGTTGTCAATCGACAATTGTATTGGTGGGGAAAACTCGCGTGATACATACGAATTTTCATTTTGGGTGGAAAGATGAGATTTTACGCGCACGTCAGTGCCAATTCCAACACCATAATTAATATCACCATGATGATCGAAAGAGTGATCTTGGTTCGATCGAATTTGGTGGAAAATGTTTAATATCTCCTCGTGAACATTACGGAAAGTTTTGCCTCTGCGGAAGATCAAGTGAATGGGGTATTCACGGGGGAGGGTAAATCTCAATTTTGCAAAGGAAAGATTTCTCAAAACACATAGCTCGTATTCAAATTCGTCAGGGCTATCGCATGTCATATAGTGCTCAGAGTGGCGTACCAGTTCTTACAAACGCAGCACAAAATCAGGCAAATTTTCACAATTACGCGGGTGAAGTTCGTCAATTGAATCTACGTAAATGTCCGGGA